CTGTGCAATGGGCGGGAACACAATAAGTGCGTGATTAGTTTTACGCCGCACTCAGCAATATTCCAACACTATGACGGAGGTCCGTATTAATAATCGAGCCTGGTCCAGACAATGATCAACATCATGAGCATCGATCTACGCTATTGGTATACACTGACATGTGTCAACCATGTCAGACTCGGGAAGGAGCGGAAACACAATAAGCAGTTCACACTGTGATTGATAGAGTTACTGAGGTTCTACAAATCAGTGGTTAATAGAATGACAGAGATTCAACAAACCAGTGGTTAATATAGTGACTGAGATTCTACAAACCAGTGGTTGATAGAGTTACAGAGATTCAACAAACCAGTGGTTAATAGAATGACAGAGATTCAACAAACCAGTGGTTGATAGAGTGACAGAGATTCAACAAACCAGTGGTTAATATAGTGACTGAGATTCTACAAACCAGTGGTTGATAGAGTTACAGAGATTCAACAAACCAAAGGTTAATAGAATGACAGAGATTCAACAAACCAGTGGTTGATAGAGTGGCTGAGGTTCTACAAACCAGTGGTTGGTAGAGTGACAGAGATTCTACAAACCAGTGGTTAATAGAATGACAGACATTCAGAAAAATCAGTGGTTAATAGAATGACAGAGATTCAAAAACCATTTTCCTTACTCCTGATTTCACCAGCCAAGTGAACATGCACGAAGCAATCCGGCAGCATGAAAGTTCAGTGTAGGCATCTTGAGAGGTAGGTCTGGAAACGTGGATGTTAGCAGACAGATGAGCGTTAATCCAAAGTCGTCCCCCTATACATGTTAAAACCCATTCCTACTATGCCCATTATACAGTTCCAGATAATTATAATAAAACACACGTCACATCAGAAGCATTTCGAAATTACTGGAATCCGGCCTTCTTCCGAAAACACACGGGAACTACGCCGATTTAATGTGTAGTCTCTGTATAGCAAGGTTTGAACTACGCCGATTTCCATGTAATTTCTGTGTAGCTACTTAGTGACTACACCGAGTTATGTGTTGTGTCTGTATAGCTACGTGGGAACTACGCCGAGTTATGTGTAGTTTCTGTGTAGCTACGTTGGGAACTACGCCGAGTTATGTGTAGTTTCTGTGTAGCTACGTGGGAACTACGCCGAGTTATGTGTAGTTTCTGTGTAGCTACGTGGGAACTACGCCGAGTTATGTGTAGTTTCTGTGTACCTACGTGGGAACTACGCCGAGTTATGTGTAGTTTCTGTGTACCTACGTGGGAACTACACCGAGTTATGTGTAGTTTCTGTGTACCTACGTGGGAACTACACCGAGTTATGTGTAGTTTCTGTGTAGCTACGTTGGGAACTACGCCGAGTTATGTAGTTTCTGTGTAGCTACGTGGGAACTACGCCGAGTTATGTGTAGTTTCTGTGTAGCTACGTTAGGAAATACGCCGAGTTTTGTGTGTAGCTTCTGTGTAGCTATGTGGGAACTACGCCGAGTTATGTGTAGTTTCATAACGGCTACGTGGGAACTACACCGAGTTATGCGTAGTTTCTGCGTACCTACGTGCGACGTTATGTGTCTGCTACATGCGGTTTCCAAGTCCGTATGTGATTGATCGGCTCCAAACATTGGCTCACAATGTTCCTATTTAATGAAATGTCACTCTCACATGTATTCATACATTACAGAAAACGCTAAGTCACCTACAACAGGGTGCATGTTTGGGATTCAAACACAGAATGGACGAAATATTGACAAAATGGCATAAAATGTCTCTTTACAACTTTGTTTGAGAGTACGGACCAGTTATCATAGAGCATACAAACTTGAAAAACACGTGCTGGTACCATCCAACCATATGTGGCACAAATATCTCATGTATTCATGCATTACAGTAGATGCTAAGACACCTACAATAGGGTGCATGTTTGGGGTCAAACACAAAATGGACGAAATATTGACAAAATATGTCGAAAATGTCTCTTTTCAGATACTTTGGAGAGATTGTGATCTTACTGCCTGGTACCCCTGAAGCACGGCTAACCGCCGATATATTCATGTTGGGATGTAGCGCTTTGTATTTTTTTGTAAGATCCGAAAGTGATAAAAGGCAGCAGTTGACAACCTGGATAATGTGCTTCATGAATAAAAATATGTTAGATTCAGAGGCGTGAAACGGACAAAAACATGATAACCGACGGATGGACGGACAGACGGACGCGCTCATTATCAACTGTACTACATACCCGGGTTCACTAACGGACAGACGGACTGACAGCGGCGGCAGACGTGTGACAAATTAGCTGTATTCAGGCAACCAATCACTTGGGAGGAAGGGTAGGGGGGATTTGGGGTGGGAATTCTGTGTCCCCAACAGCCCATTCTTGGACCTGAAGGGACTGGACGAGCTTGTTGGATTCTGTGTCACATTACTTCCAGTTTGTGTTTAAGGCTGTAAATCTGCTGGCCAGGTTTATTGGGACAGTTCAAACTGACTGAAGCGCCAGATAAATATCCGAAAATGAGTGAAAAACAGCCGTATACAAAGTAGGTGTAGCAAAGTAAAAAACAAATCCTGCCACTATACTATACTACTGTACTATACCCATATCTTCTTCAAAGGCATGTCGAAACACGTTCTTTCACCAAGACAAACATATTTTCACGAAAGAAAAATGAAACAAATAAGTGTTTCTTTAATGGGAACCGAACTCAAAATTATAGTTACACCAGCCCCGGCTCGCTACCAATTGCGCCACAGTCAACTATATCACAATGCTGGTAATTCTCTTATTTATACATAAAATCTTCTGGAGCATCGCTGGGTAAATGTGACGTTTAATATTATGGCTTTGAGCACGAACAAATATTGGAGGGCTGTTTATTTGTGTATTTTCACTACTAATGTTGAGAAAAGATGTGAATTTTGCTACCCTCAATGGCCACAGAGGTTACATCGAGTAACAGCAGCATGAGTAATCCACTCCAAGTGTACAATAATTTGGCAAGTGTAGATTGCTCAGGGGCTCTTTGGAGGCATATTTTGAATAACTTTATTCTAGTCTACTCTACAGAATGCACACTATGGAATGGTGCAGTGGCGCCGGGAATGTTTACAACTCCCGGTGTTTATTGTGATGCACAACGAAGCCTGGATGCGTACGAAACCGGTAAACACGCACACACGCACGCGGACAGACAGACAGACAGATAGCGGACCGGGTAGTTGTTAAAGCGTTCGCTTGTCACGCTGAATACCCACAAAATATGCAATTTACTACACTGAAATATAAACATTAGGAACTGTTTGAACCGACAGCGGTGGATGCGTGTGTCTTCACATCTCTCATCATAGGGATGTCTTCGAATCCATCTCGCGGACTGCCTCTGCGGTCTCACGGACCACTTTCAACGCCCAAGGAAACAGGGTAGTGCCCATTCCGTAGGGGAGCGAAAGTAACGCCTGTTGCACAGCGATGGAATATTCGGACATCCACAGCCTAGCATACCCATGACAGCACTCATCACACCACGAAATTGGTTTTACACGTTGTACCCATGTGGGGAAGCGAACCGTGCCTTTGCCGTGACAAGCAAACGCTTTAACCTCTAGGCTACCCTGAGACCTGCATTACTTCGGGATGTCCTTCCACATTAGCCAGGCACGCTGTGATGTAACTTTAAAGTGTAAGTTAAAAGTGTTAAGAGTCTCAAGCTAAACTACTCACTAACGTGCGGTTTTGTTTTTTATAGTCGCAGACTTTTAAAGACATGTGGCATGGTGGGCGAGCTGTATATAGCGCCAGGCTAGTGATCCAGCGACCTCAAGGTGCCGGGATGTAGCCCACCCGTGACCGGGTGTTAAAACCTTGGAGTCAACTTTGTGTGCAGACCCTTTCAGTGTTGTCACAACCCCTAGTGTGCAGTACAACCCTGTGCACTTAAAAGAACCCACGAATCCGTTGGTATATGACCTAATGGTGGCCACATGAATGCATGGAACACCTAGTTGTGGGTACAGCAACGTGCAGTAAGCTTGGACATATCATAAAAGGGTGACTAATGATATCATAAAAGGGCGACGTATGATATCACGAAAGGGTGACGTATGATATCACGAAAGGGTGACGTATGATATCATAAAAGGTGACGTATGATATCATAAAAGGGTGACGTATGATATCATAAAGGTGACGTATGATATCATAAAAGGGTGACGTATGATATCATAAAAGGTGACGTATGATATCATAAAAGGGTGACGTATGATATCATGAAAGGGTGACGTATGATATCATAAAAGCATGAAAGGGTGGCGTATGATATCATAAAAGGGTGACGTATGATATCATGAAAGGGTGACGTATGATATCATAAAAGCATGAAAGGGTGGCGTATGATATCATAAAAGGGTGACGTATGATATCATAAAAGGGTGAGGTAAGTCTGGGAGACTGTTCAGCGAGAAAGTGTTTGCCCAAGTCCACTATTCTATGTTGTCTTTATGTTGGTGGCAGATTATTCCCCGTGGGAGATAACAAGATTTCACATTCGCGCAAATCCAAATGCTTGTGATGGTTTCTGTGCAATAAATATTTCTCAACACAGATCATAACTGGTCGGTTTGTTGCTTAACGCCGCACCCATTCCGCGTCATACCAAAAGACGTAAAAATATGGTACTTGTTGGTCCCTGGCTGGCGCACGGCATTAATAGGTACAACAAGGACTGGTCGGCTCGGAGTCAGTATAATGTGTCTGAGTGGGGTATTCATGCTTCACTGCGGCATGGTATCTCAGAAGTGTAGCACTATAAAACCAGCTTAAGACTGGGCTAGTACAAGCAGCCGCACATACACATACACACGCATGCACGTCGTCATATGAGCGAAATATTCTCAAGCACGACGTTAAACCCAATTTCACCTCACCTGTAACATATTGAATCTCAATCTCAATCTTCAGACGTAAGTTTCAACCAATGTGCAGAAACAACAAGACTAAACACACTTTTGAATATTTATTACAAATGTGAAAAAAACCCACCAGAATATACCATCTTATGTACGGGATATGTGCAAGAGAAAGAAACTCGATGCTGCCTTAATCTCTTGTTATAGACGGTTAGATACTTATAAGATCTGATCCACCTTACTATCCTTATGTATATAACGTATGACCCGTAATACGGACAGTGTTTTTGACAATGCAACGCAAAAATATAATCATATTTTTGATTTTCAAGTAAACAGTTAGTGATCCATAACGTTTATTAGAAAATTCAAAACAGACAGGTAAATTTCATTAATATCCATGTATTTTTTTAAATTTCGGGATGAATTACATTTAGAACAGGCAGGGGCATATGGTTGCAAATCCATTTCTTATCCCAGTCTTCAATGAATGAATATTTACACGAAACTACCCAGGCACAGAACAAGAGCATTTAGAGTGAGTGACACGAAGACTAAACGATATTAGCTCTCTCACCTTGCAAAACAGACGAATTGGGACACACGCGGGATGTGTCACAAGGGAGATAACTCATATAGTTCATGTGCTGGGTGACTCCAATTTTACGCCACTTTTAGCAATACTCCAGCAATATCGCCGCGGGGGATACCAGATATGGGCTTGACACATTGTACCCATGTTGGGAATCGAACCCGGGTCTTCGGTGTGACGAGCAAACGTTTTAACCACTAGGCTAGTGCACCGCCCCCGTATTTACTGGCTTAGAGGAATGAAAGGTGGTGAAATAAACGTAATCAAACTTAACAATTCTTTCAATTTTCAATTGCATCGTACCAAACTTTGCATGCTTTATGTTGCCACTGATGTTGCTAAGTGTGGCCTTAAACAACAAAGGCCGTAAAAATCAATATTGTATAGTACAATAGACATTGGGTATTGAACAGAGATACCATTCAGTCAGCAAAACATAATGCCCTAATCTGACTATTAAATTATCTGTAAGGATTGTCAAATTATTGTATAATCCAGCCATCAAACTCCGTACAAAATATTTTGTATATACAGTACGTTGTTACTCATGTAAGTTTCTGTTATTCGAAGACACTCCATTCATGGTAAATATATAGTCAATATGCTTACGTAACTATTCTAAGAGACGAAATCAGCATGTTAGTTGTACCTTGGTATTGAGGAAACACGCCATTCTAAGCTCTCGACTAGTGAATATTTAAGCGTTTTCGGCGTAATGCGCACAAGAATGCATTTCATTATCTGGAGTGAGTGAGTGTTTAGTTTTACGCCACTTTTAGAAATAATCCAGAATTATCACGGCAGGGTACACCAGAAATGGGCCCCACACCCACCGCCCTCATAAACTGGAGCTGATTCATAAAAGCTCACACAAACCATTTAAAGTGAAATGTAATTCCAGCTATTCTTATTCCGTAAGCCTGGTTTGGTTGGAATTTTATATAATTTTCTGTCATCAAAACTTGTAAATGATTACAGTTATTAGTGTAGTTTGTTTCTTTGTAGATAGGTAGGAGAGTGGAATATTTTAGACACCCAACACAATATTCACATTTTGTGACCTATAGCTCCATATGTCTGTAAAACAATTGAAGTATATACACGACCAATGATATTGATGTGGTTTGTAGTCTGCTGCCTGCGCCTGAACCCGTCACCGTGTTACTACCGGGTACCCTGACGGTAACCGCCCGTCCACGTCTTTTTCCGTCAGCCGATCTGAAAAGGAGAACACACTCATTAACTTAAGTGGTGGTAACTTGAGAGCTTGGCGTGTTTTCAGGAATGGTGAATAAAAAAAACATTTTCTAAATCCAAATGTAACGGTACAACTTGGTTCCCAAATTTTATCACCCCGAAATAGGGGCAGTGTGGTAGCCTAGTGGTTAAAGCGTTGGCTCGTCACGCCAAAGACCCTGGTTCGATTCCCCACATGGGTACAATGTGTGAAGCCCATTTCTGGTGTCCCCCGCCGTGATATTGCTGGAATATTACCGAAAGCGGCGTAAAACCATACTCACTCACTCACTCACTCATGATGTGAAGCGGTGGGATAACCTTGTGGTTTACGCGTTCGTTCGTCACGCCGAAAACCCGGGTTCGATTCCCACATGGGTAAAATGTGTGAAGCCCATTTCTGGTGAGCCCTGATATTTCTTGAATATAGCTGAAGGCAGCGTAAAACTAAACTCACTCACTCATGATATGGCTGAAATAGTGCCGATGTGACTTTAAAGTTTAACTCACTCTCTATTTTTGATATCCCATTTATGTCAGACAAAATATAAATTAATTGGTGATGTTATGGACATCCGTGATTGGTCAGATTTGATTAACGTACTTGAGAGCCACGAGGACTGTCTCTCCCTGCTTGGCCGTTATTTCCGCTGACGCTGTCTGCCAACTGTTTCCGCCATCCGTGCTTGTTTCCAAAGCGAGGCCAGGGAACGGCGACTTGAGACTTAGTCGAACGTTACTATTTCTGAAAAAATATAAAGGTTTGAGGTTCACAGATCGCTAGACAGATGAAGATCCGGGTTAGAATTGGTCTTTAGTAACCCATGCTTGTCGTAAGAGGCGACTAACGGGGTCGGGTGGTCAGTCTCGCTGATTTGCAGACCGCCGCCATATAGCTGGAATATTGCTGATTGCTGCGTTAAGCAACCGACCAGCAACCAATCCTTGGATGTGGGGACTTAGTCTTTGAATAAAAAAAGGGGCAGTGGGGTAGCCCAGTGGTTAAAGCGTTGGCTCGTCACGCTGAAGACCCGGGTTCGATTCCTCAAATCGGTACAATGTGTGAAGCCTATTTCTGGTGTCCCCCGCCTTGATATTGCTGGAATATTGCATACTCACTCACTCACTCAATTAAATAAGTAAATGAATGCTATGGACCAGCACATTTTCTCAAACACCATCTACAAATATTTATATATGTCAACATACATGTCATTTAATTTTTAATTACATGGGCTGTTTTATATGTAGTTAAAGAAGTATTTAAAATTAAAGCTCAATTAGTTTCTAATTATTGGTCTGATCAACAAGGTTTAATTGTATTTACTGAGCTCTGACTCGCTCGAAAATGTCATTACTCCTTATACTACAAACCCGTCTCCGTACAAACCTTGCACCAGGGGGCGGCACCCGGTATGTGATGTTCAGTTTATCAAGGACAGGTAACTCCTGGTATCCTAATGAATTTGCAAACTTTATCCAGTCTTTTCGTTTTTCACTGTTGCGTGTCTCCACTTCCATTATATCTTCCCATGGTGCCTTGTGCCACGCCCTTTCTGCTAGAGCAATTAGTCTCGGGAATACCATGTAAAACAGGTTGTCCTGTGTCCGAACTGTCTCGCTCCATAAGTGACCTTGCATTCCTGAAAAATCAGAGAATTAAAAAATACATGAACTTACCCAATAAAAAGAAATAGGTACTGTAAATCTTGAACTTAATGAAAAAGTGAAATACATTTTAAAATGGTCTTTTACTGGCATGAATAACCACGTATTTATGTCACTCTCGAAGTTGTCATTGACAAGAGGGCCTCTCTTCTTGCGGAGGTCGTTTGGGTAGCCTTGTGGTTATTTCTGGTGTTCTCCGCCGTGAATATTGAAGTGCTTGAATATTGCTAAAAGCGGCGTAAACAAAACTCACACACTCACTCTTGTGGATGCAGTATTCTGGGCAAAAAGAATCTTCGAGTATTATGCACAGTAAACAATTACATCTTATCCCTTCAGCTGAACTACAGGACGCGCTGTTCAGCACAGGCATGTCGGCAAACAAACGTATTATATTTGCTCGTATTTTCTTCACGAGAATCCCAAAACAAGGAGTACCAGGGTCAGTCCTTGGCTCAGACCAAGCATGATATCTGTACTGGTACATTCCATTCATATTTACATATTGGAACATAACCAAAGGTTGCAAAATTTCTCGATAAAAATTATGCTTGATTTGACCATTTGGGTCCTTCATTTTGACATTCTGACAGGGTGCGCGTCAAACATCGAGTATTGAGTGAGTGAGTTTAGTTTTGCCGCACTCAACAATATTCCAGCTATATGGCGGCGGTCTGTAAATAATTGAGTCTGGACAAGACAATCCAGTGATCAACAGCATGAACATCGATCTACGCAATTGGGATACGATGACATGTGTCAATCAAGTCAGCGAGTCTGACCACCCGATCCCGTGAGTCGCTTCTTACTACAAGCATGGGTTACTGGAGATCAATTCTACCCCGGATCTTCACGGGTTCCATCGAGTACTATAGTCTTGTAGGAGAAGAGAGGACCCATACTACATCATCACTCTGGAGTTTATATGACTCACCAACAACGTTTTCCGGTTTTGTAAGAGGTGTACACTGGCTACCGTCCTTGCCGCACAGCTCCTCTTTCGTCATGGGGTCACCGTTGCGCCGGACGTCCACGTTCTCGTACACGGTGTCAGGCATGTACCCAAACGTCTTCCACGTGTCGGTGAAACGGGTGGCCCAGTAGAACCCTCTCTCTTCTGGGTCCGGTTCATACGGGTGGTCAAAGTACAGATGGGTTGCATGCGCCAGAACTACCTGGTTACACAAGGAATGTTTGGTTGTTGTTTAACGCCACACTCAGACATACACTGACCATATGACATATGTATGTAAATAATCGAGCAATCCAGTGATCAACAGCATGACCATCGATGTAATAATGATACAGTGTATTTGTAGAGTGCTAGACTCCATGCACTAGTGCATGCTCAAAAGCTCAAAATTTTGTTACAATCGGATTATAATTACCCCGGATAACCCAAGCTGCCTGTGAGGCGCTAGAAGGTTGACTTATCCCACCGGGTACCCATTTTTCTGCTGGGTGAACAGAGGCAATTTTGAACAAACTCACTTGCCCAAGATGAGACCACATGTATTTCATGTGTTTCGTAGTGGGGCAGGACTGATATCCTAGAAACTCTCAGAAGTCAAGCTGCCAAACACGGTCACCAATCCAAGGATTCTCCAAGCTCGACGTTGCTTAACTTTAACCGATTTGTGACCTGAGCTCTGTGCACAGGACCAGGCGCCACCAATAGGCAATTGGTATACGATGGCTTGTGTCAACAAAGACAGCGAGCCTGACTACCCGATTCCGTTAATCGCCTCTTACAACAAGCATGATAAAAGACAAATTCTAACCCGGATCTTTACGGGTTACACAAGGAACGACTAAGATGGCTTTCACGCCGCCATGAACTGTAGCTGAGGTGTAACACGTCATCGCGGACGATTTTGTACTCATGGATCTTTCAAGAAGGTAAAAGGTTAAATATTATTGTGTTGTTAAAATATCATTGTTTGTTATTTTGCTCCATTATTGTGCATAGAAATTAGGATAATTTACTTAATTTTTTTCAAATAAAATGAAAATATGTAACAGTTCGATGTTTGTATATCATGCTATGGTCTTGGGAAATTCATTTTTGTTGGCTGGACTATGGTATCCTTACACTATTACTGAACAAAGTAAAACAAGCATTACAATCTGTCCGTGTCCTACATTGGGAATGTTTCGGACAAACTGACCTTATATCCAGCGTTAGCCAGTCTGTATGCTCGGGTTGAAACACCCCACTCCCACACGTTGTCCCATGCATACGCCAGCACGTCCTCATTAGCCAGGAGTTCCTTATTGAAGGGTTCGAACACGGACTCCATGAGACCATCTTCCCATCCTCCGAGATTCAAGTTCTGGAGACTCGTGATATTGGCGACCTTCCTTGTGAAGTGTTCCTTTAGACTGACATTAGCTCTCAACAGCGCCTGACAAGCTGGCGATTCCATCCACGCGCCTCTAGCAACTTCATCACCTCCAAAATGGAAGGTTTTCAGGGGACTGATGTCTTTGTGAAAGTCAACAAAAATATCAACTATGTTTTTATAAAACTGTAAGTTGAATCAATACACGGGTTGATGGCGTTGTCCTTAAACATTTGAACGGAGAGATAATCCGATGGGTCATCAACGTCGACCAGTCTGTACGTGTCGGCGTTATCAAGGTCACCGATGTCAAGAAGGCGCTGCCGTCTAGCTTGCATGGCGAATATAGCCGCATGCGCATGTCCGGGAGAGTCTACTTCCGGTATTACTTCAATATGGCGACTCTTAGCGTATCGCAGAATATCTTTATAGTCCTCGACTGTGTAGAATCCTGACCCGGAAGTTGAAGCATCTGGACCTGACCCGAGTTGGCTGATGACGCATTTCTCTTCATCAATATCATGGCATCTTTTACCTCCAACCTGAGATAAAGTTAAAGAAAAACATGACATGATCGGCGGCAGCACTTTAATGAGTAATTAGATATTGTATTTCGTATGTGAATTGCAACTTTGACTACAGCTATCAATAAATTGCGCCAGACGCATCTACTATGCGTTTTGTGACTCACTGTCTAAGACCCTAAACGATTACGCTGAATGATTCACTGGCTGGTTGAATGATTTGATAAGCTAATTGATAGCTTACATCCCGACGGACTTGCATAGTTGTCTGAGTGGTTTGATATACTGGCCCTAATGGTCTGACTAACTGACTGATCCATCGAGTAGGCATCTCGTTCCCTCCCTCTTCAGCTCTTACGCATTGGCCACATCACTCACTGTCCTGAGTGGGGTCTTCCAAGCATAGAACATCCAGCCACCAGATATGACTCTCTGACACGATATGACCATTAGGGCAGCATTTGTATTTTCTGTGTTTCGAGAAATTGTAGTAAGAATTACAATAAATGAGAATCAAGAACATTATTCAGAATTATTTTTTATTTTTTCTTTCCCGACCGACCGACCCATGTTCAGAATCTGGTGTCTACGTAAAACATAAAACTCATGCACTTAAGAGAAAAAAACATCAGGCCTAGAATCTGCACCTGACATTACTCACTCACCAAAATAAGTTAAGCCTGATGTAGATCTGGAGCCTCCACCCCCAGGTATCCTTCAATCGATCATTCCATCTCTCACAAACTCACCTGAGTGAGCTCTTCCAGAATCTCCATCCTCCAGCTTCCACTCCCCCACCTGGCCACTAGCTCCAATACGTACAGAATCTCCACCCACCAACTATACCTCAATGACCCCATCACGCCATCACTCGCTGACTCACCTGAATGAGCTCTCCCAGAAGCTCCAGGTTTCACTCACTCACCTGGCTACTAGCTCTCACAGGGTTAGAATCTCTATCCACAAGCCATCCCTCAATGATTCAATCATTCCATCACTCACTAACCCGGGGGTGCTCATCCAGACCTGGAATCTCCATCCTCCAGCTTACACTCACTCACCTGAGAATCTCCATGAATCATTCCATCACTGACTCACCTGAGTGAGCTCCTCCAGACCTGGAATCTCCATCCTCCAGCTTACACTCACTCACCTGAGAATCTCCATGAATCATTCCTTTACTGACTCACCTGAGTGAGCTCCTCCAGACCTGGAATTTCCACCCTCCAGCTTACACTCACTCACCTGAGAATCTCCATGAATCATTCCTTTACTGACCCACCTGAGTGAGCTCCTCCAGACCTGGAATCTCCATCCCTCCAGCTTACACTCACTCACCTGAGAATCTCCATGAATCATTCCTTCACTGACTCACCTGAGTGAGCTCCTCCAGTTCTGGAATTTCCACCCTCCAGCCTTCGTCGTCAGTCAGGTGAAAGTGGAACCTGTTTAGTTTGTACCTAGCCATGGCGTCCAGCAGTTTCATCACCGACTCCTTCCCATGGAAGTTCCTGCTCACGTCTAAATGCATCCCCCTGTATGAGAACCGAGGAGCGTCCTCAATGGTGCTCTTGTACAACTTCCCGTCAGAGCTGTACTTGAGAGCCAGGCTGAGCAGGGTCTGTATACCATAGAAGATTCCTTCAGGCGAATTAGACCAAATCTGGATGACTTCATTGACCGGATCGACAGTCAGAGTGTATGCTTCTTGGGATGAGGTAATTTTTCCGTTGATGATGACTTGTGGGTCTCTCTGAAGTAGCTGGATGTAGCCACGTTGTGGCGGCGCTGCGGTGCTGACACTGATGTTAGAGTGGCCTCCCTTGGAGAGTTCGTCTGGATTAAAATTGTATCACTGCATTGATCACATTACAAATACAACATGGCTGCCATAACCTTCTTCGAATTCCACAGAGAAAACGTGATCAGTTGCGTATTTTTACATGTTTTGTCTGAAACGTTTGCCTCAGGAATTGATATATATAATAAACTTTGTATCTTGCTTTAGGGTAAAATAATGAAGTAATATGAAGTAACATGCTTTGTTCCATGAGGTAGGTAGGTAGTTATGTAGGTTGGTTTGGGGCGACTTTAGGTAAACACGCTTAGAACGAACGGATGCATATATCGAACTGCTTTCGTTTTGTTTTTTGTCACGGTTATTTGCTATTTTAGTCGAAATGTGCATTACGCACTGAAACTGGTTGTCCTTTTGAGTTCGTCATAGCCGTAGTAATTATTTACCGTTTGAATGAGGAAAACTGTCACTTCTTTTATGCAACCATAAGTTATCACTGGGAAAATTGTCAAGTACTGTTAATTATAATCATTTTGACTTTGTTAAGAACAGCTGTTTTGAAAGCTGGTCATTTAATGAGGGAGTGCCGAACTTAACAACTATTCCCATAATGGAGAGGGTTTCTTTATCTGAAAAACTTCTCAATGTCAAAAGATTAATTCTCTCCATATATATTAACTTGCCCATTTAAAGGCTGTGCAAATAAAAATGCTCAAATTGGTAATTTCAAGTACCGCCTTGGTTTAAATATGTCTGAATCACTTGTCTGCTGCACTTCTCATGGAGAGGTGATGACCTTTTTGGTCTTCCAAGGTATTTCATCTGCTTCTTTAACACCTTGGACCGCCTCCGTGGTGTAGTGGTTAGAGCGTCCGCCCGGAGAGCGGAAGGTCGCGGGCTCGATCCCCGACCGCGTCATACCAAAAGACGTTAAAATATGGTACTTGTTGGTGCCTGCCTGGCGCTCGGCATTAATGGGTACAACAAGGACTGGTCGGCTCGGAGTCAGTATAATGTGTCTGAGTAGGGTATTTATGCTTCACTGCGGCATGGTATCTCAGTGGGCTAGCACTATAAAACCAGCTTAAGTCTGGGCTAGTACAAGCAGCTGCACATACACATACACACGCATGCACGTCGTCATATGAGCGAAATATTCTCAAGCACGACGTTAAACTCAATTTTCACCTCACCTCACCTCACCTCACCTCACCTCACCTCACCTCACCTCTTTAACACCTTGACCGCAACTGACCTTTAAGGTAGTAGGCGTCAGATTGGAACAAGGGGTCAGTTGTAATTGTTTTAATCGCTGATATCATCATCTCAACGCTGTCATCAATCACCATGGTAACTGGAGTAGGAATAACGGGATGCTGAGATGATCCCATGTCAGTTACGTCCTGGACCATTCCATATCTTACATCTGGGGTGTACGGGTCGTATCTGAAACATTAGACTCGCTCCCTAGAATAGTATTCAAAATACCACACGCAAGGCAACAATTTAACAAATACTATATCGTATTTTACTTAGTTTCGTAAGTACAAATATTTAAAAAAGGTTGCCTTGTTTATGAATTGAAAATAAAACAAAAGAAATACACATCTTCAGTTTCTGTTAATTTTGTTTTTCTTCAGTTTGGCCTAACGCCTCACTCAAATATTCAAGCTACATGACGGTGGTCTGTAAATATTCGAATCTGGAATTGACAACTCAGGAATCATCATCATCATCATCATCATCATCATCATCATCATCATCATCATCATCATCATCATCATCATCATCTACGCAATGGGGATAAAAAATATATAATGAGGGACTGAGTGAGTTTAGTTTTACGCCGCACTCAGCAATATTCCAGCTGTATGGCGGCGGTCTGTGAATAATTGAGTCTGGACCAGACAATCCAGCATTAGTATCGATCTACGCAATTGGGATATGATAACATGTGTCAACCAATAAAATGATATAAACCAAGTCAGCGGGAAATAATGTAATTCCTTTACCTGTCTTTCAGATCAGGAGTGTCATACCGCTTCCATTGGTTGACTGTACTAAAGTCCCCCACGAACTCTAGCCCAGGTCCCTTGGTACTGGCGATAGTGCGAGCCTTGAGTCCTTCCGCCCACATATACCAGTTTGGCATCATGTCCGTCTTGGACACGGACCAGTTCTGAACCCGGAACTTAACTTTCCGCACCTCATTCGACTTCAGTGGCTTAAAATCAATTGTTGGTTCCATCTTAAACAGGCATCCTTTAACATGTTTAATCGTCATCTGCTCGAGCTTCAGTTCTGGCTGGTCATCAGGCACCATGTAGATGCTGCAGTAATAGATGCCCCAGTTGCCCTTGACAACGTCTTCTGAACCCGTGTTCTTCAGAGTGACTTCTGCAAGATACGTGCTGGTGCCATCCTGGAAGTTGTCCAAGACTGAGTAACTGAGGGTGACCTGCTCTGCCATGTAGTCAATGACAGACTGGTCTACCAGCGGCAAAGGTTCTACTGGAAGATGAAGAAGAATTGCCCTTCTTACTTGAAACTGTCTTTCAAAGTTGTTACACGAGACACGACACAAAGCCATTTTTATTCACGAACTTGTATCATCTTCATACTGAATATCGTTTATGTGTATACCCTAAACTTTACATCTTAGAAACGAAGCATCGTCCGTAAAGGTCCACAACGCTTAAACCAAAGATCTACACATCATTTCTGCTGCATTTCAAGTCTAAATGCAATGCAAAGCAAACGGCAACTTACCTTACCTCTTCACCGTGAGTGTGTACGTATGTGTGAGTGAGTGAGTGAGTTGAGTTTTACGCCGCACTCAGCAATATTCCAGCTATATGGCGGCGGTCGTATGTGTGAGAGAGGGGGAGAATGTGGTGTTTTAAAAAATTAAGTGGCAATCCGAAAGACAATTATTTTTTTACTTACAGGTTCACACACTGTCACATTTTGCGATAAGAAGTATAAGATTCGAAATTCTTGGATTCATTTTAGAATATCAGGGAAAGAGAGACACTCACTTCCATTTAGTGTTACAACCCGGCTGAACCGCTGCTGGTTGAGGGATCTGAAGCAGAGAGATACAGTCGTCATTGAAGGACTTCCACTCTTTATTGGCCGAACTTTAATATTATTTCTGTCACTGCTCATCTATACTATTGTTATCAATGATGACAAAAGAATGTTAAATCCATCACTTTGTCCACGACCTCCAGCGTATCTTTTGAGGTAAAAATCTGAGGTCAAATTATGTTAAACAAGCACAACTTCGGGAATGTGTATTATTTTAAGAGAAACCAAAACAACATCCCAACCATTCGTCACCACTCGCCCCTTTCCGTAACTCAAGAAGCTATTCGGCTTGTCCCGGAATAACACGAGTTGGTCACGAATGCATCCCAACATCAAATGAGGTTAGTTATTTCCTGAAGTCAGTTACCAAAGTAGGGAAATATGTCATATCACATGGTACAATCTGTTACCACATGTTTGTAGGTGCAACACTGCCAAAGAGAAAGGGTCAGGTCACTACAGGTTGTTAAAGGCCCTATGATGGCCCACTTTGCTCGAGACATCCCAAAGACCAGCTCTGTTCACCTTGTCCGGAGCTGAAGAGTCTCTGAAGGCTTGACAAGGACGTTACCGTTGGCAACAAACCAGGTATTTCCGCCATCCTTGCTGTACTGAACAGTCAGCCCTGGGTACGTTGTGGTGAGTTTGAGGAACCCCTTCTCTTCCCTGTAAATACAGTGGGATATGTGCATACATTCTGCTTATGGTGCCATTGTGAGAATGTGAGTTTTGCACTACATATGAAACAAATGTCTCAACCTTTAAAACCAAAACGGATTTGCTAGTTCTGTCATACCGAACTATTATTAATATTGATGCAGAATACTGATCACAGACTGCAGAGTAATCGAAAGACACTATAATACTTTCCCTGAAGATTTCCGGTTAAAATATGGTCGAATAATAGTTTGTTGCAAAGGCAACTGATGGTAAACCTCAGTGCTAATATCAATTTCAGACGCCATTTACAGGTCCTCAAATAATATAAAAATAACTCAAACCAATCGAATGTCAACGAATACAGTTTGATTTCATTTGAGACCGATGAATTGCTCACTAACACAAAATCTAATGATTGCAACAAAACCAAATTTTGCACAGTCACGTGAAATCGACAGACCAACTCTGATGATTTGTCTCATTAGTTTGGACACCATTATTTTGTTGCCACTTTTCGATATTTTGTACGAGGGGTGGGGAATGTGTGTGTGAGGGGGGGCGCTTGCAGGTAGAACAACCAGGTAATCAACAGGCATTTGAAGTGAAATTTCAATTTCACACGTGCAGCTCGCACACCTGGCTGTTCTACCAGCAAATGAACCCCCTCGTAAAAAATAGCTAAAAGTGAGAGGCAAATCATCAGAGTTGGTCTGTCGTTTTCATGTGACTGTGCAAATTTGGTTTCGTTGCAATTATTAGATTTTGTGTTAGTGAGCCATTCATCGGTCTCAAATGAAATCAAACGGACGGTAATTACTATTTCCCCTCTGGGAAAGAATACTTTCCAATATTCCGCATGTGGTTACATCATAGCGAAATACTCACACAGCTCCTGGAGGGGGAAGTCGGTATTTAATTCCGTTAGTTTCTAGACGTCGAAGTTCATAACGACCAATCTGTTTCGCGAAGGACTCCCAGTCTTCTTTCATGGCTGCTTTGCCAGCCTCGGTTCCGCTATCGTCTTCCCATGGTGCTTTGTGCCACGCTCGCTCAGCTAATGACAGCAGTCGAGGGAAAAGTCTTAAGTCCACCTGATCTTGTGTTCTGGAAGTTTCTGTCCATGAACAAGCTTGGATTCCTTGAATCAAATCGAGTTTAGCTTTTTTAGAATGAGGATGAAATAAATGTTGATAATCAGACATATATGAAAACAGACAGTGTAAAAGAACGGTTGACCTACAATCTAAATTTGATTTTCAGTTGAACAAAGAATTAGTTGTTGTTTATGTAATATATTAAAGAGGGTGCTGGGGTAGCTAAGTGGTTAAAGTGTTCGCGCGTCACGCCGAAGATCCGGGTTTGATTCCCCACATGTGTAAAATTTGTGAAGCCTATTTCTAGTGTTCCGCGTCGTGATATTGCTGGAATTTATCTAAAAGCGGCGTGAAACCAAACTCACATTGCATTGAACTCGTACCGATGAATTTTACTTTAAACAAAAAGTAAATCGAATAAAGTGAAATTAAGAATGCAAATAATTTTACCTTGCCAAATGAACATTTAGATCTCAGTATTTTATTCAACTTAACTATTATTGGTTTGTATTACAAGGGTGTATGCACATTAAATGAAACACCGCGAATAAGTTGGATTGGTCTAAGTTAACGCTCATCACGAACCGCACGTGCATTTGTTTCACTGTTCCAACTACTGCGCTTACCCCCTTGTAATACACCGCAATAATAGCGATTTGAATCTATGATCGTTTGTTAAACAACTGTTATCATAAGTTGAATAAAATTCTGAGATTTAAATGTTCAATTGGCAAGGTAAAATTATGAGGATTCGTAATCTTAATTTCACTATATTTGATTTACTTTTTTGTTTAAACTGAAATTCATTGGTACGTTTTCACTTCAAACTATAGCTAGATTAACGGTATCGATCGTTATTTTCAGGTTCTCTGTTCGGCTCTACTCCTGCGTCTGGTAGTTAAAGGACTTCTGTAAAATGTTTTGTACAAATTCTACTCCTACTAGCTGGATGAACGTTATCATTACTTTCAGGCTATATCAGTTGTAGAAGTTCTCTGTTCGTCTCTACACCTGCGTCTGATAGTTAAAGGACTTCTGCTAAATGTTTTGTACAAATTCTACTCCTACTAGCTGGATGAACGGTATCATTAAGGGCTATATCAGTTGTAGAAGTTCTCTGTTCGGCTCTACTCCTGCGTCTGGTAGTTAAGCGGCTTCTGAAACATAACATTACAGTACAACAAAATCATAATATTATCTTTAAAATGTTTATCACTTGTTCTTGCTTACCGGCAATATTTTCTGGCCTCTGTAAAGGGGGACAACTCTCGTCGTTTACTCCACATGCATCTTCCCTCGGGAGTGTGGCTCCTGACCGCCTCACTTCAATCAAGGAGTAGAGATTTTCGGGAGTAAAGCTGAACGTTTTCTTAGCGTCAGTGTATCTTGTTGCCCAATAATAGCCTCTTTCTTCTGGGTCGGGCTCGTCGGGATGGTCCAGGAAGAGGTGGGAGGCGTGAGCCATGACGACCTGTAGATAAAAGATAAAAACAATCAGCAATCCTGTCTGTATCACTTGCTTGATAACGGTGTTAGTTCCTACACCGAAACGTCGCACTCATTGCTATAATTGCTAGTTCCTACACCGAAACGTCGCACTCATTGCAATAAAGAAGTTGACCACCCATAGAACTTAGTTTTCCTTCATAGTAACAACTTCTAAAATGCCTCTCAAAGAATCAGCAATTCATATGGCACAACCACGGATCAGAGAAGTTGTTAAACAATCAATCCTCGTATAATGGATAGTGCACATCTTCCCAAAGGCCCACTCTGTTACAATCGATAGAAATTTTATGTCAAAGAACGGGTTAAATATCAATCAAGTTCGGTGCGCTCAATACTTGATTGTGACCAGGACAGTCTGCTCTCATTTTGGTGGCAACAGATTCACCACTGGCTCCTAATCCAACTTAGTTGTCCGCGTTGTTCAGTTGTCATAACAACTCACGTACCATATAATAACTGAAAATGCTCGTTACCATTCACAAATCTGCTTTCGATTTGGTTGCTCCTGGTTCGTGACTGGTTCGCAGCCTGGTCCGAAATTTCATCTATACTACCGTCCAAAAGAAAGTATACTAAATATTTTGATCCAAGATCCAGGAAAATTTACAGAAACATGTGACAAGGTAATCGCTACTGATGTATAATGACACATTTCTCGTCTCGCGAACTGTCTCGCTCAAATTCTCTTTTTCTGAAAACGTAACATGCACGTGCTCCACAAAATGCACGTGCAGAAAAACCGTATAAAAGCAGCTGTTGACACAAGGCATTGTCACAGAATAAAAAAGCACACAAGAAAAATGCCATGCGTACCGCAGTACAGGGAGAGAGAGCAGTAGGAATGGCCAAACAAGAGGCTTTTTCACATGCCCTCATCGCGAGAACCTTCGGATGCATCCGGGTATGCATCACTAGGTTGTTTCAGCGTCTCCGCCAGACAGGGCAGACAGTAGACAGGCCGAGAAGTGGGAGACCGTGGGTGACCACGCCCCAGGAGGACGGCTACATCCGGGTGATCCACCTCAGGAACCGCTTCATCCCGGCCACAGCAACGGCAGCAACGGCACTCGGACATCATTTCAGTCGACAGGCAGTATCACGACGACTGCGTGAACATGGTATTCGAGCACGGCGTCCATACCAAGGGGTGGTACTGACACAACACCGGCGTAACAGGCTCCAGTGGGCAAGACAAGTTCGACGTTGGCGAGTCCGAGACTGGTCACGTGTCCTCTTTTCGGATGAGAGCAGGTTCTCGTATTCACAGCTGATGGCCGTCAACGTGTCTACAGACGTATTAGAGAACGGTTAGCTCCGAACGGTATCCAGGAAGTTCCGGCGTATGGTTGAGGTGATGTTATGGTGTGGGGAGGATGGTTTGGTGAACTGAAAACAAGGCTAGTCATCATTCGTGGCAACCTTACTACACAGAGGTACAGGGATGACATTCTGCGACCGGTGGTCCTTCCATTCATTCACCAACAGCCATGTGGCATTGTCTTCCAACATGATAATGCAAGACCTCATACCGCCAGACTGACAAGAGACTACCTGAACAACATAAACGTCCACGTCTTACCATGGCCAGCGTGTTCACCAGACATGAACCCTATAGAGCATTTGTGGGTCCACCTCGACAGGCAGATTAGGAACAGACCAGTACCCCCAGTCAACGTGCGACAGCTGGAACACTGCCTGAATGACGCCTGGCAACCGATTCCACGCAACGTCATTAGACGATTGACGTCATCCATGCGCCGATGTATTGTTGCTTGTGTCAATGCTCAAGGAGAACATACTCGCTACTGAGGCAGTACATGGCTCTAAATTGTGTACCGGGCATTTTGAAAAACATTCTGGTTGTTCAATTTTATTGTTATGATCCATTTTTGGACACCCCCATGTGTTTGTTTCCTTTTCATGTCTTTATCATTGTTATTTCTGAATTGTGTTTATGTTACAAAAATGCAGAAATGAACACTCTAATGAAATATAAAACAGATTTTGTTGAAATCGTTTTTGTTGTTTCTTAATTGGATTTCGAAATTAGTGGTATACTTTCTTTTGGTAGTTTACTGGATCGCGGCAGAGTTGGCATCCGCTCCAATCCACCATTAAATGAATCGTAATTGAGGACCATATACCTTATAACCCTTGTTGGCCATGTCGTATGCCCTTCCTCCAGTTCCCCACTCCCATATGTTGTCCCAGGCGTAGCTGTACACGTCTTCGTTCTCCGCAAGGCTTCTGTCAAAGACCTCATTTCCTTGCCGAATGAGGCCGTCCTCCCAAGCTGCCAAATTTAGGCCCTTCGCCACTGTTAGATTGGCCAAACGTGTGAAGAAGTATTCCTTGACCTGCCCCGTGGACACTGTGTCCGAGCCAAGCAGGGTCTTGCAGGCAGAGGAGTTGACCCAAGCCCCCTCTACCAACCTCATCACCTCCGTAGTGATAGACAGTCAGAGGTTGAATATCTTGATGTAAGATGATCACTTCTCGAATTACGTGGTCGATGAATCTATAACAAACAGTCCATGAAAGTAAATAATTAGTATTACTTGGATATTTGATTACTGAAATTTAACAAAGAGCGTCAGTGCAAAAGAACACCCAGTCTTGATTATCTTCACATATTCCGTTTAAAATTGAAATATAATTGTGGAAATGATATGAATGGATGACTGAAAATCAATATATATGAACACAAATGGTGTTCTTCCCCATGAGTCAATAATGAGTGTATTATGTGAGTGAGTGTGATATTAATGTTGAACTGCAATACGGTAGCTCAACAGGGTAGTACACTAAAACCAATGAGAATTACGACTGGTGCAAGCAGTCATGTACACACAGGGGCATGCCAGTGGCTTTATACATGACTGAATTTTGAACGTGATGTAAAGACCCAATCAGTTTCATCCCATCAAAAGAGTGAGTGAGTAAGTTTAGTTTTACGCCGCACTCCAGACAATCCAGGGATCAACAGCATGAGCATCGATCTACACAATTGGGAACCGATGACATGTGTCAACCAAGCCAGTGAGTCTGACCACCCGATCCCGTTCGTAGCCTCTTACGACAAGCATGGGTTACTGAAGATCAATATCCATGTTGTGGACATGTTTGTATCCGTGGAAATCTACTTGTATATACTTCATGAAAGCAAAGGGAATATAAAAATATGACTATGATCAGATCATACTGTCAACGACTTCCTCCACTGTGAAAAATACCTGTGTTTAATCCCTATTTTGGCATCCGAATTAAGGTTCAAGGATTCGAACCTGGGTCTTCGGCGTGACGAGCCAACGCTTTAACCACTAGACTACCCCACCGCCCCTATTGTATAATAGCAACGTTTAGATATAGATGGTATAAGTATCTATACCGAAAGGTCGCTGTTATACCTTACAGATGTTGATCATCCATAAAGACTTGTCGTTCCCATTTTAAACTTGACACTTGTGACAGAAATTACTGTTTTCCTCACTACCGATACCACACATACTATTTCTATGTCACACTTACGTGTAGGTAGATTCCAGACAGGGATTTATTGAGTTGTCTGTAAACATCTGCGCAGTGATGTAACTTGAGGTGTCTCCTTCTTCAACCAAGAGGTACTTCCGGCCTTCCTCCTCCTGGCCTTGACCTTGAAGAATCTTAAACCTTGCTTCCATTGATTTCACAGCGGCGCGGGAATGCCCCGGCATGTCAAACTCCGGTATGACTTGAATGTGCAGTCTGTTTGCTTCTCGTAGAATTTCCCTGTAGTCGTCTGTTGTGTAAAACCCGGAACCGGGAGTGGAATTTGTTGGACCAGAACCAAGTTGTGGATAAAGGCACGTCATTTCTGTGAGATCGAAGCATCTCCTGGAACCTATCTGAAAATACAATCTTTATGTTTCACGACTAAATATACTGAAAGAAACAAATAAAGGGTCACAGGAAAATTTAAGCGTTCCTTTAATATTTTCCAGTTTTCATCACCAGCTTTGAATAGCGCTGTGGGAATGAAAACTGGAAAATAATAAAGGAACGATTGAATTTTCATGTGATCCTTTATTTGTTTCTCTCAGTATATGTCCATTTTTCAGGTGCTGAATCTTGAATTCAGAAGTACTTGTGATCATGTTCGTCTTCAGCACATTATTTGAAATATGTCCTTACGTTTTGACCCCCTGTATTCTGAGCTAATTTTGAGGTAAAGTTAAAGCTTGAGATGACCAAATACTTGTGGGGTCAGGCTTCGCGGCTTGATTGATCGCGTGTCATCGTGCCCTGACGGCGAGAATCGTGGGTAACAACATCGGCGGTGTCTGGTAGAGACACGATTATTGTGGGCTGACGTCAAATCTTTGAAATTTTGATAATGGCGGTGCTGAAGAACGCATTGTTCTATTGAAAGCGTCGTCTTCACCATGCACCATTCTTGAAAGATAAATATATATTTGATGGATTTTTGGATTTTTTTTATTCTCTGAGAAAAAAAAGTCAGGTACAATGACGTATAATAAGTATATCAGCGGACACATCCGAGGTTTTGGGGTTTTTCTACACATAGATACAACATTCACTCACACATTCATACTATAAATGAGTATAATACTACCGAGATAAATTAATTAACCTTATCAATGTTTGCATCGAAAATGATTTTCGTATTGTGTCCATTTGTGATGGTATTCCTGAAACCTTATATCTGATATTTTTCTTGCGGTAATAGTTCAATTCTTTTTGAAATACGGATAAATGCAGTACTCGATTACTAAGGTTACATTGATAGATATGAAATTTAGCTTGTAAAAGAGATGGACAAAATTTGATAATTGCGGCGCTGAAGAACAGATTGTTCTGCTGGAAGCGTCGTATTCACCATTCACCATTCACCATTCACCATTCTTGAAATATAGATTTTTATAGAGATGGAGATACTCTCTGTTTACGTATGTTATATTGAAATATATGTAGCGATTGATACTTTTTTCATTCATTTGACAGGTTTCGTTTCACCCAAAATACGTCATCATGCTAATGTGTGCACCAATCTCTTCAAAATTAATTCGGGGCACAATGGTTCCTGTCGACTATGGCTTTGTCACGAAAATAATTTGGGTAGGAAGACACGCAACGTTTCTTTGAAAATGAGGCGTTATTCTTTGTTATAAACCAAGATTTTATAAACAACATTGTCAAAGCATAGCCTTTCATTGAAAACCTCAAAGCGAATATTGCTATAATTCTGGCTGGTCCCGACTCACCTCTGTTAGTTCCTCCAACCCTGGAATCTCCAATCTCCATCCCTCGTCTTCAGACAGGTGAAGGTGGAGCTTGTTCAGTTTGTACATGACCATATTACCCAGCAGCCTTAGCACTTCCGATTTAGGATGGAAGTTCCGTCCAACATCCAAATGGAGACCCCTGTAGATCAATTACAACACCTTGCTATTCACAGCTAAATGCCACCGGACCATAAACGCAATCGGGAGTTTGACCACCCGATCCTTTTTGGACCTTACGACTAGCACGATTGGTAGTAGGTAGAAGTAGTAGTAGCAACATAGTACTAGGAGTTGTAGTAGCAGCAGCAGAATTAGTAGCTTTAGTACTAGCAATGAAAGCAGTCGTAGTTACAGTAGTAGCAGTAGCAGCAGCAGCAGCAGCAGTAGTAGTAGTAGTAGTAGTAGTAGCTTGTTTGTTGGTTTGTGGCTTAACGCCGCACACAGCAATATTCCAGCTATATGGCGGCGGTGCTCAACAGCATGAACATCATTCTACGCAACTGGGATACCATGACATGTGTCAATCATGTCAGCGAGCCTGACCACCCAGTCCGTTAGTTGCCTCTTACGACAAGCATTGGTTACTGAAGGCCAATTCTAACCTGGATCTTTACGAGCATTTATAAGCATATTAGGAGCCAATGTAGATCATTTAAGAAGTAGTAGTAGTACTTATTGTATCCTCGAAGTGGGCTAAAGTATCATAAATTTATTGTTCTCCTGAGAGGGTACGTAAGTCCCAAAACTTTCAAAGTTAAATTTAAGCTTACCAGATTTTTAAACGTAGTATATTTGTTCTTTTAAAATTCGGCTAAACTTTTCCTACAATCGCCAGCGGTTGAAGGGATGGTGTAAATCCAACTAAAGTCCATGCTGGTAGCAAAGGCACTGTAAGTCCCTATGGACCCTAGTATGGTGATCTACCTTCAGTTGTTGGCGATCAATAGCCTGTTTTTGTATTGTATCGTCCTCAAGAGTTAAAGTATTTTAGATTTAATTACTAGTTTTAAGTATATATCCGTGATAGTCTAGTTGGTTTTACTGTCCTTTGTCGGCAGCTATTTATATTGATTACCTTGTTTTCATCGCTATATGGCTATAATATTTTCGATGCGATGTAAAGTTTTAACTCACTCACTAGCAATTATTGTAGTAATACTCCATCTAAAAGACGGTGGTCTGTAGGCGAGTGAGAGACAATACAGTGATTGACATCGCAGGTGCTGAGTGCGGTGTTAAACAAACAAATCCAAAATGGCTTCCCTTCAATGGTGGAGAATCCAATATGGCGTCCCCCAATGAAAGACTTAGTTTAGATGACATACTGGGCAGGAATGGGTTCTTACGGGATCTGATATAAGAGATATCACCTGTATGCGTATCTCGGCGAGTCAGTGATGTCCATCTTGTAAATCATATTTCCCCTCTGAGACATGAGGCTGAGCAAGGTCTGAGCTCCGTACATCACCCCCGAGGCTCCTTGTCCCGTGATTTCAATCACTCGGTTGCCGACATCTACTGTCAGTCTGTACGCGTCGGGGCTGTTCGGAATTCCTCCCTCGGGAACATCAACGTTGCCAATGCGCATGCGTATGACATCATTTCCAACGTCTGCTCCACCGAGGTCAATATTAGTCATCTCTGGAAAGGTTTTACAAAGCATTCAGTTGTTTGATCTTTGTGATATAAACTTAATCCGTTTGCAAGCCTACGATTTGCATATTAAATGAATTGACACCTTTGTTTATAATAATAACTTGCATAATATGGCAAGTTATCTTGAACGCCAATTATGTGTCAAAGTGCATGAGCACTAATGGGTCGTACAATCGTCTTAGCCGCTTATGTCTTGATGTTGAGAGTTACGTCCCTTGGGCTTCCCAGAAATCAGTGGATTCCACTCACTATTGAAATCCACGAGTGTATTATAGTGCTGGCACACTTAAGATCATAATTAGTTCAAATGTTGGATTTAAACCGGTGGATACTGCAACAACTAAGGGACGCAACTCCGCAAAGACATTGGCGCCGCCTAGAGCTACAAAACAGATGTACTCTATTAGTATAGGATAGTTATTTAGCGCACATAGCCACGCAACTAGTACATGCTCAAGGGGCTGGAGTGGACGTCTTTTTCTGATAATCTTTTAACTCAACTTCCTGGCTATTATTCAACTCATACAGCCTGTTAGGCGCGGCGATCCCATAATAATCACATATAAGTGGTTGGATGGGGTAGCCTAGTGGTTAAAGCGTTCGCTCGTCACGCCGAAGACCCGGGTTCGATTCCCGACATGGGTACAATATGTGAAGCCCATTTCTGGTGTCCCCCGCCGTGATATTGATGGAATATTGTTAAAAATGGCGTAAAACTAAACTCACTCACTCACTTACTCAATACCTGCCATGATTGTGTCCAATATCAAGGTCACTTCAAAGCTCAGTCATTCCCACGTGTAAAGAGTTTCAAAGTTTCAAATTACATCATAAACAGAAAAGTACCTAAGCAATTTGCAGCTTGTGTCGCGAGTGGGATAATACTATACACGACATTACACGGTCACAAATAGTTGACGATATTGAAGGTGCTAAACTCCGGGATGATACAATCGATGACATCACTCTCTCACAAGTAATGGAAACTGAACCTACCCTGTTAGAGGCATTGACCCAGTTATATTAGTGTCGTAGACGGGAGAATATGCAACATTTCCTGAACTGTCAAAGTGCACACTCACGCAGGTTCTAACCACTGTATGGCATGGATATGGATTATTCGTTACACTGCTACACTGAGTCTAACAAAAGAAGACTCAGGTTTCTGATTTTAAAAACAAACATCAAAGTGTTTTGCAAAGGTTTAAGATGAACTCAGAAATTAACCAGCATAAAACATAATTTAGTACAACATCACCATTCATGAAATATTGCCAGAAAGACAGGAAGCACTAACTGTTAAAGGATCCGGAGACGGATTGACAAGGAGTTGTAATTTCAGTTTTCTTTTTCTATCATATAAGGACAATAGATACTTACGTTTGAAGTATTCGGCTTCGGTAGATAAGCCGTCCAGAGCATACACCCTCCATGTGCTGTTATCGATGGTCAAGCTCTGGTCCTTGACCACCGTCATATTCAGGGGCTTGGGGATGACCCTCACTTCTCCGTTGTCGGCGGGATCGGTCAGGTGGTTCCGTCTGTATCTCTCCTGGGGGGTGAAGGGGGCATACTTGTCCGCCCCGTATCGTTTCACCTGCTGGGGTTTTATGAAGTCATCAACGAAAGATAAATCTTCCCCAACAGTGCTTTCTATGACATTGGGCGTTAACCCCGGTGCCATCAGGTACCAGTTCGGCATAATGCTTGTTTTAGCAACTTCCCAGTACTGCACATAAAACTTTATTTTCCTGCTTGTATTAAGCGGAAGGTCAAGGAACTCGTCCGTTGGTTCCAGTCGAAAATGGGAACCTTGCAAATGGGTGACCTTGACCCCTTGACCCTCTAGGACAACCCCTTCTGGTCGGGGTAGGACATCGGGTTCTATCATTTGGATGCAGTCGAAGTATATATTCCATTGGCCGGTTTTACTCAGAGTATATGACCCGTTGTTTGTCAAGGTCACTTCCGCGAAGTATTTGTTGTCGAATTCTATATTGTCCTTGACCTTCCATCTGACCTGCAGAGTCTGGGCGAAGTTGTCCAGCTGGTCTTGTGTCCACACCTGGCAGCTGACCAGTGCTGGAAGACAGAGCAACAATAAACGTCAGAACAAAAACAATCATAAACCTCGGTCATTGAAAACAAACGTGCATTAAAGACTCTTTCCTGAATACGAATTTTGGTGCTGATTTCGTGGTGTCCAGTTCTTATTTTTTAAAACCCGTACCCGTTTTTGTTTAGTTGATTATCGATTTGAGTGATATAAGGTTTGTTGGTAGGTTCTATCTGAAACTCAGCTTTGTCTTGACATTCCATATTTGATCGATTAACGGTTGTGAAGTCGCATGTTGAATGTCTTCCTCCATGCAGTTTGTCCGATAACTTGCTCAGACAAAACCAGTTCATGTCAGCTGGCTGAAGTGTTTGAAGCGCCACACAAATTTCTGTGTCCGGTCTCCCGCGTCACAATTGTCTGATGCAGACTCGGCACCAGTGAATGTGAGTGAGTGAGCTTTTAGTAGCCTGTGTATATTTTGATTTAGTCTCTCATAATTCCATTAGGTATGGTGCATGTGCTTTCATTGATGATTTGTTATTTTGTCTATATTTCATGTTGTACATGCAGTGAGGCGTAGATAAAATATATGTCTGAATCGGCATATTTATATAAAACTGTTGACATTGTTATTTTTGTGATTGATACGAACTCGCAATTCATATGGGTACCCATCGGCTGTAAATAAACAGTTCACAAAATCAGTGACAGCATGAACCGACCCATGAAGTGTGTTCACGTAGAAATTAGTACAAATTTAGTCGCCACCCTTACGCTAATCCCCCGGTAAGCCCTTACATAAACATTACTGATACAACACTAAACATCAGGGGTACCGTGTTTCACCTTCGTGCGAAAAGCTAAAACCAAAAAGTCGCCTTCCTGCGAATAAACCTCTTGAATAGAGGATAGGGAGGTACTCAGGCATGACTGACTGGCGGACTGTTCAGTCTCACTTCACATCTAGATGCAAATAATTAGTCATGTATTATATTATTAGACTGATATACATAAGATTGATATACACAACATATAACTGAGGTTTGAGGGATATGGGGTGGGACGCCATATCGGATACACTGAGGTTTGAGTGCGTGGGACGCCATATCGGATACAGTGCGTGTGTGTGTGCGTGTGTGTGTGTGTGTGTGTGAAAGTTCATTATATGGTGAAAGTTCAATATGCTGTCTAAAGCTGCTGTATTAAGGTGAGACGTGACTGATCACACCTCACCAATATGTTAATATGTCCTGGAGTCGGAATGTACCGGAAAGGGACCAAAATACAGCAGTTACACAATAAACAACGAGGTGGGGCAATTTGGTTTAGGTTGGACATGTCATTACTTATACAGTTTTACTTAAACACTTCGATAAATACCTTTATTGAAAAGTGGCCTCGCCAAGCCGATTCATTTAAGTCGCAACATCTATTCAATATATTCGTGACACGCGCGTTTGCTTAACCAGTGAAGCGATACATTACAACCAAAATTATTCAGAATTTAAAGATTGTAGTTTTTTAGTTTTTTCACTCATTACTCACGTATTAAATGTGAATATTAGCAGAACATAACTCCAGATACAAAGACAAGTGAACAGTTAGTATTTTGTCAAGTCACCATGGACAGCAATGCAGGCTTCAATGCGGCGGGGCATACTACTGATCAAAGAAAGTCGTGGTCCATGCTGTCCCAATATCGGACCACCTCTTCTTTCATTTCAGCAATATTTGTCAGAGTTTTCTTATTGACACTGTCCTTCATAAGTCCCCAAACATTTTCTATTGGATTTAGGTCAGGGCTATAGCTTGGCCAATCTAATAATGTCATATTTTGGGTCCGAAACCAGGCCTGTGAATGCTTTGAACGATGTTTTGGGTCGTTGTCCTGCTGGAAAATCCAAAACTTCCCATAGAACACGTGAGCAGATGGAAGTAAATGTCCCTCGAGAATATCTTTGTACCGCTCACTGTTCATATTCCCTTCAAATACACAGAGGGGCGTTGCCCCTTACACAGACATGCCATCCCACACGTTAAATTTCGGACTGTACTTTGGGCGCTAATACAAAGGTTTTACAGTTTGTTTGGTCCAGAATTTCATTGTATTAGGAAACAGCCACACAGAACTTTCATCTGAGAAAATCACATTGTCCCAGTTAAAATTTCTATGCTGTAAGCACCAGTTCAACCTTCGCTCCTTTTGTTCAGGTTTCATGATCGGTGATGGAATTCCTCGACTTTTCTGCCAACCCATTGCATGCAGCTCAGTTCTAATTGTCTCCTTACAGACAGCCACGGTTCCTCTATCAATCATATCCAGCCTTAAGTTTTCTAAACTCCTTCGTTTGTTTTTAGAAACAAGAATACCAAGCCGCCTCCTGTCATCGACAGTCAAATTTCTGGGCCTACCTGCGCCTCCCTGGTGCTCAGTGCCATATCCATTTGCAATATTTTTCAAAACACGATAAACAGTGGACAAAGGGATGCCTGTTCTACTTGAAATCACTTGAGCTGATCTGATGTCCTTGTTATAATACTCTAAAATCAACTTCCTCTTCTCTAAATCATCCATACTGAGGATCACTGAAAATGTCGTCTGCTCGCAATTAAACAAAGGGGGATAACTCTTCACAAACTAATGAAAAAGGATTAACGGAGTTGTCTCTCTTGAATGAATCCACGCACTTGATAGCTGGTCAAGGTTGTTTATACTAGAAATCCAATTAAACATATTCCTAAAATTTTCAATAATTTCTGGTCATACTATATCACATTATAGGGTAAGAGTTGATGTCTTGTACAGTTTTAATTTTGAAGGTGCTTAAATCAAAGAGGTCATGGGTTTTCACCTTGTTGAACCTTTATTTGTTGTGTATTTGTTATCTGTCATACATATAACCGGTATTCAATATATTTCCTTGACTAGTGGTGAAGTATGAACGAATGTTCATATAGGTTAGTATCCCTAGACAAGTAATGAATATACGACGTTTTGGAAGAAAACACTGGAGGCCGTTCCACTAACCGATCTTAACTAAGATCAATCTTAGCAAGTTACACCAATTTTACAATCGTCTTAGGTAAAAGTTACACCCGTTCCACTAACCGATCTTAGGCCGATCGTAGCCGGTCCCGATCTTACGATCCGATCAAAGCTTAGATGGAGACTCTTTCGTTAGAGAGATAGAGGAATGCGAGGCACGAGTTATTTCCCTTTGCATAGTCTAGCAAATGATGGAAGTAGTTTACGAACCAACTGAGTGAGTGAGTGAGTTTAGATTTACGCCGCACTCAGCAATAGTGAAGCTATATCGCGGCGGTCTGTAAATAATCTAGCTAATTAAGATGCATAGCGTTCACTAACATGAGCGTTCATGTTAGTCAACGCTATGTATCTTAGCCATAAATAATCGAGTCTGGACCAGACAATCCAGTGATCAACAGCATGAGGATCGATCTGCGCAGTTGGGAACCGATGACATGTGTCAACCAAGTCAGCGAGCCTGACCTCCCGATCCCGTTAGTGGCCTCTTACGACAAGCATGGGTTATTGAAGTTCAATATTCTAATCCGGGCCTTCATGGGTATTTTTCCAACCAAGTGTAAACGTGGAGAAACAACCTAGAGCAAAATATTAGGGTAGTGAGCACCTTGGTTTCAGGTGCAAGTGTGTGTGAACGATGGGTATCAGGCATAATATAATAATAATATATGCATATTTATAGTGCGCCTATTCCACATCCTGGGGCATGCTCAAAGCGCTATGTACAGATAATTTACACGAGAGTATTTACAGCCGAGGTTATAAGTAATATACTGAGAACAGGTTTTAAGTCTTTTTAAAACATGTCAATTGTGTCAGAGCTTTTATTATGTGCCTGAACCTTGTCAATCAGAATAAACAAGGCGTGACGAGGCATCCTCTATAACGCATGTAGAATCTGTCAGTGGTCTTGAATAACACGCGGCCTGTCTTTAGAATCCCCCACCAAATAAGCGCACGTGAAATCAAACATATTTGTATCTTTTTGTTTCAGAACATTGATCACTTCATGACCCGTCCCTATTCTTAACCATGACGTTGCAATATTGTTGTACAAATGTGTTACACTATCTCGCTCGGTTGTGTTCCCATGACGACAGTGGTCAGACTGGCCTGACATTTGTAAGGCTTTAGTGCAGTGTTTGTTTACATCACAGAAATATACAAATTCATTTCATGGGGGATTTTAGGTTACGCTCACGGTGAAATGCTCGCTCTTATTTTTCACATAGAATAGGAAAGCCAGCATTTTGGTTTCTCTACGATTGATTTTAGCTATCCTAAGTTGGTCATGAGCAACTTAGACTTTGAATCTTAACCTTGCGATTGACTTAGGTAAGATTGGTTAGTGGAACGGTATGCCGATCGTAACGTCACGCTAAGATTGGTATTTTAGGTGTTTACGATTGGCATAGGGCTAAGATCGGTTAGTGGAACGGCACCCAGGTCTACAAAACTTTCTTCATCTATATTCAACACAAACTATGGATCCTAATCACGATTCCCATAAGGGGAGTTTGCTTGTGTTTCCAATATGTCCAAATGCCTCAATAGATCTAGTACGGTTCTATGACGACTTAGTGAAACAAACAATTGCGGGGGTCATCTCAAAATATAAGTGTATTTATTCTTGCTAAAAACACGACTTTCTTAATGATGATGATGATGATAATAAAACAATCAAAACGCTATTGAAACGTAAAACTTGTGACGTTTTACATCATCATTTATGAGTTCAAGAACCATTCAAATCGACACAAGCATTCTTTACGGACAGAGAACAAAACGATGAAATCGTTCAGGATCTATTTATTAGAAATCCAAAACGGTTATATAAAGCTGTGATGCACACCGACATTTTCAGCGACGGAGAGGATTCCATCTAGAAAACTGTGATAAAATGGAACACCGTTCGAGTTCAGTCTCTGTAGTCACATGCTGATGCAAGTCATGGTAGATATTATAGTCTATACTTTC